AGGCCGAGGCTCTGTTGCATAATTAAATGCACCATTATAATTTACATAAACAAACAATCTGAAGCAAGGAAGCTTTTGTGCTGGCCCGGAGCGCGGGGCTGTGGGCATGTCGGGGAATAAGCAGGAGTCTGTGCTCTGGGCACAATGGCTCTTTGTGTCCCCGGCGTCACAGGGACAGCCATTGTTCTGACCCCTAATCCCCGGAGGGTGACCACCTTCCCCAGCCCCTGCACCTAACCCGCTTAACATTCCCCATCGGGATTGTGCCCGGGAACCTCGCTCTGGATCAGCCTCAGCATGGATGGACCTGGCCTTGGATCAACTTCAGCATGGATGGACCTGGATATGGATCAACTTCAGCATGGATGGACCTGGCTGTGGATCAACCTGGCTGTGAATTAACCTCACCATGGATGGACCTCACTGTAGATGAATCTCACCATGGATGAACCTCACTGTGGATCAACCTCACCATGGATGGACCTTGCCATGGATGGAGCTCACCATGGATGGAGCTCACCATGGATGGAGCTCACCATGGATGGAGCTCACCATAGATGGAGCTCAGCACAGATGGAGCTCAGCACAGATGGAGCTCACCACGGATGGAGCTCACCACAGATGGAGCTCACCATGGATGGAGCTCACCTCACCCTGGGGCACAATGGGCTCATTTTGCCCTCGGGGGAGCAGCCCTGGCGGTGGGACAGGCACAGGCCCCACATACGAGCTGTGTCACACTGTCCACCCGCACCTGGCCACACGCTCTGGACAGCCAGCACTGCTCAGAGGGGCCATGGCAGCCCCTGGATCCCTGGAAGTGCCCAAGGCCAGGCTGGATGGGGCTTGGAGCAGCCTGGGTGGTGGAAGGTGGCCCTGCCATGACAGGGGTGGGACAGGGAGACCTTTAAGGTCCCTTCCAAGCCAAGGCATTCCATGATTCTCTCGGTAACTCTCAGTCAGACCCAAGGCTGGCAGGATGGAGAGTGGAGTGCTTTGCAGAGGGAAGCTGGAGAATCAGCCAAGCAGCACTGGGGCATTTCTGACCGCAGCTGAACTTGTCTCAACCCTGGTGCCAGAGCCAGGTTTACATAACAGTGTAATCTCCTGCTGTGAATGACATCCTGTGTTTGTACAATACAACATTTCTGGTATCTTTGGCCTTCAGGGTTTGGAAATCCTCTTGTTGAGCTCAGCCCCTGATTAGAAATGGACCCAAAGACTTTCCACTGCTTCTATTCGTCTCTTGAGTTTGTGTCTTTAAATCAACAGGTTTTTACTATTGTTTTAAAATTAGTTTGGTGTGATTGATTCATAAATTCCATCCTTTGCTGGAAAACTTTGTCCAAGAAAAGTGAATGATAATGTTTGAACGTGAGCTGACAGCAGGCAGCGGTCAGTGCTCTCAGGAGAGGCTGAGAACCAGCAAGGCCTGGTGACTGGAGAGGGAAGAGCTCCTTTCTGTTATCACAGAATCACAGGAACATTTGGGTTTGCCCAGCACCCTGCAGGACTGCAGAAGGAAAAGGCAGCTGTGGGTTCATGGCAGGCAGCTGCTTGTAAACAGCTGGGCAAAAGCACCCCTCAAGGGCAGGGAAACATTCCTTCTGCACAAACCCCACGGGGTGGATTTCTGCCTCCTCAAGCTCTTAGAAATGAAAAATCTTTATTCTGTCCAATCTGGCACAGCCACAGCTGGATGTGACACCACTAACAGCAGCTGGTCTGTGCCAGGAGCACCGGGAACAGCTCCTGGCTCTATCTGTGGATAAAACGTGAGTCCACTTTCCTCAAGGCTCTGCCAGGAGCTGCTCTCCATCACTGTGTGTGTGACACACTGCTCAGAGCCCCAGAGCTGTGTGACCCACTGCTCAGAGCCCCAGAGCTGTGTGACCCACTGCTCAGAGCCCCAGAGCTGTGTGACCCACTGCTCAGAGCTGGGTGTGACCAGGGACTGCAGGGTGAGGAAGTGCTGGCTGTGGCTGCAGGACCAGCCCAGCAGAACAGCAGCACAGAGACAGCCCCACCATCCCTGCTGTGGGGTGGGATGGATCCCAGAGGCAGCCCCACCATCCCTGCTGTGGGGCAGGATGGATCCCAGAGGCAGGACTGGTGGGAGGGTCTGGGCAGTGGGTAACACTCAGCAGAGCTGTTAAGTGCCTTTAGAAGGTCAGGCTCTGTAGCATTCATCAAATCAATTGAAATTTTCAGTTTAAAATCCAGTTGCATTCATTGAGGACCAGCTGCACTTTCCTCTGCAGTAAACTTGTGTTGCCCCTCAGCCCCTGGGGAACAAGCAGAGAAAAGGCTCTGGGAACTCTCCAATCCCTCCAACACCCCTGTGAGCAGTGAGAACACCTCTGCTGCTGGAGATCCAGAGCACATGGAGCCCAACCCCAGTGTCCCTGTCCCATACTGCCTGTACAGCCACCCTCCTCCTGCCCCACTGCCAGGGGGCAGAGCAGGAGCCACCCAAGGGGTCTCTGCAAGGACAAATGCCATTTTAAAAAGCTGTTACAGCTGCTTTTCTCTCTGAGCACTTTGGCTGGCCTGTGGGCTGCTCCCTCCCCCACAGGCTGGGGCACAGCAGAGCTGGGTCCTGTCACCCACATCCTGTTTGTGACAGTGCCTGAGAGCGTGTCACGCTGTCATCTGCAGCGCCCAGAGCGTGCTCTCGCCCTGCTGGGAGGGCATCGCTTCTTCAGTCTGAGCCTGGGGGTGGTGAGGCTCCTCCAGCCCTCCCACACTCACAGTGAGCACCTACATCCCAAACTGTGCCAAATTAGCCTTTCATACCAAAAGGAATCACACACTTGGACTGTAAAGCTGCAATAATTCAGGGTCCCTTTCTCAGTGCTGGAGTTGTCCATTCCCTTGGGGCACTAGACCAACTCTCACCAGATGTTCTGCTTTTTGTGCTCCAGTTGCTTTTGGTCACCCCTACCTTTAACTCAACATTTTTACCAAATAGAATCAATATCTGATTTTTTTTTTTCTCCTTTCAGCTAGTGCTACTGACAACGAAAAGTGGAACTCTATTTTGAGACAGCAAATCATGGGCAAAAATATTGGTGCCTAGTGACAATCTCCAGAGCCCAGAGCAGCATCTGACAGGGGATGGGCTCTGACTCCAGATGTGTTGGAGCAGAAGCTCCCTCCAGCACAGGGCTGGGGCTGCACCCACAGCTGAGGGGCTCCCGGGCTCAGCTGCAGGCACTGGGTGCAGCAGCATGGCCAGGACACCAGCCCAGGTAGAAACCTGGATGTGAAACCACTAACAGCAGCATGTGAGCTCCTCCCCTGGCTGTCCTGCACCTCTCCTGGCTGTCCTGCAGCTCCCCTGGCTGTCCTGCAGCTCCCCTGAGTGTCCTGCAGCTCTCCTGAGTGTCCTGCAGCTCCTCTGAGTGTCCTGCAGCTCCTCTGAGTGTCCTGCAGCTCCCCTGGCTGTCCTGCAGCTCCCCTGAGTGTCCTGCAGCTCTCCTGGCTGTCCTGCAGCTCCCCTGGCTGTCCTGCAGCTCCCCTGGCTGTCCTGCAGCTCCCCTGAGTGTCCTGCAGCTCTCCTGTCTGTCCTGCAGCTCCTCTGAGTGTCCTGCAGCTCTCCTGGCTGTCCTGCAGCTCCTCTGAGTGTCCTGCAGCTCTCCTGTCTGTCCTGCAGCTCCCTTGGCTGTCCTGCAGCTCTCCTGTCTGTCCTGCAGCTCCTCTGAGTGTCCTGCAGCTCTCCTGTCTGTCCTGCAGCTCCCCTGAGTGTCCTGCAGCTCCCCTGGCTGTCCTGCAGCTCCCCTGGCTGTCCTGCAGCTCCTCTGAGTGTCCTGCAGCTCTCCTGGCTGTCCTGCAGCTCTCCTGGCTGTCCTGCAGCTCCTCTGAGTGTCCTGCAGCTCCCCTGGCTGTCCTGCAGCTCCCCTGGCTGTCCTGCAGCTCCTCTGAGTGTCCTGCAGCTCTCCTGGCTGTCCTGCAGCTCCTCTGAGTGTCCTGCAGCTCCCCTGGCTGTCCTGCAGCTCTCCTGAGTGTCCTGCAGCTCTCCTGAGTGCTCCTCAGCTCTCCCAGAGCCATGGGATATATGCATATATCACATATTTCCAGCACTGAATCCTTTCCACAGAAATTTCAGAGGCCAGTACTGACTCTCTGTCTTAGCAATGTTCATGAATTCGAGAAGTTTTGGGAGCAGGTTGGTTTTGTTTGGAGCTCATCTCGGAGGGAAGCTATTGGATTTAGCCTGCAGTCTCTGAGGAGCCCAGAAACCCCTGGCACAGCGGCACCCGGGGGTACAACTGCACAGGCTGCCCGGGCAACAGGTGAAACAGTCACACAGGACCTTCCAGTTATATTTAAAATGCTTCCAGTTGTATTTGAAAACATAATTAGGCTGCTCTGGCTGAACAAACAGCTTGTTTCCGTGGACTGAGAGGGAGCAAAAAATCTCTTTTTCTGCACATCTGTGCCCATGGTTATTAAAGCCCAGTTCACAGATGCTGTGATGTGAACTGCTCGAAGCCTGTGCCTCTGGAGAAACGGGAGCAGGTGTGGAGTGCTGGAGCAGTGGGACCAAGGGGCAGCTCCTGCAGCCCCAGGGCTCTGCTGTCCCCAGCACAGCCCTCCAGGGGAGCCCCTGGATGTCAGCAAGCTGCCAGTGCAGAGCACTCGGTGCTCAGAGCTGGCTGTGACCAGGGACTGCTCAGAGCCCCAGAGCTGGCTGTGACCAGGGGCTGCCACAGCAAGGCAGGGTGAGGAAGTGCTGGCTGTGGCTGCAGGACCAGCCCAGCAGAACAGCAGCACAGAGACAGCCCCACCATCCCTGCTCTGAGGGTCCTTCCCCCTCCAGATCCGCTGCAATCAGGCAGCTCGGTGGGACAGGAGCATCAGCCCCTGGCAGAGGCTGCAGCTCAAGCCAACACCGGGTTACCACGCTTGGTACAAGGGATGCAGAGATGCCACCACAGAGCACCCCTGCCTGCCCTGCCCTCCGCTCCATCCTCCTCCTCAGGGACTCTGCAACCGGCTTCAGCAGAAGCTCTCATTTTATTAAAGACCTTTGGAAAACACTGGCTCCGGTAACAGGAAATAAATAGCTATCAATTTCGCATTCAATTAAAAACTGTTATTAACAGTAAAGTTCGCCGAGGAAGTTCTGCAAAGGTTCTTCACATTTTGGAGTCGCTCATTTTCACGTTAATGAGGAGGTCCGCGCCGTGCTCTGATTAAAAATGAAAATCATTAAAAGCCCCGAGCCGTGCGAGCCTCATCAGTGCTGTGGTCCGGGCCGTGCCCGGGGACACGGGGGGCGTCACACCCGGCTTTCCTCCTCTTCCACTGCCCGCTGGAAGCCTGGGATGAATTTCAGAAGATGCTTGCGAACGCTGGCTCTCCTGCTCTTCCTCGGGAGGGTCCCGAAGCTGCTGGAGCTGCTGTGGCGGAGCGGGGACGCGGAGCCGCCGCTGGCCAGGCTGATGCTGCGGTTCCTGCGCAGGGGGCTCGGGGCTCGGGGCGCATCCCCGGGGAACACACAGTCCTCATCCGTGCTGGACTGCCGGCTCAGGCTCCCGGCCCCGCGGTCCTCGCACATCTGCTGGAAGCTGTCCTGGCTGCCCACCGTCATGGAGCTCAGGCGGCTGCGGGAGCTGCTCTCGCTGGAGAAGCGGGGCTTGCCTGGGAAGAAGGGTCCCGGGGAGCTGCTGGGCTCCTCCGGCTCCAGCTCGCCCAGCAGAGCGGTGTCAGCCTCCTCCCCTGGGACAGGAGCCGGAGAGCGGCGTTAGGGACACAGCCAGGAGCGCGTTCTCCTTATGGGAGCGGCTCCATCCCATGCGGGAGCTGCTCCTGCTTCGGGAGCTGCTCCTGCTTTGGGAGCTGCTCCTGCTTTGGGAGCTGCTCCATCCTGCTTTGGGAGCTGCTCCATCCCGCTTTGGGAGCTGCTCCATCCCGCTTTGGGAGCTGCTCCATCCCGCTTTGGGAGCTGCTCCCTGCGCCCTGCCCCGTGGGCAGCCCATGAAAAACCAACCCCGCTAAGACCAGAACGAGAACGGAAAACAATTTCCCAGCACACAAACTCCCCCCCGGGACAGACTGAGAGCCCCGTGAGCGCTGCTCGAGCTGCAGCAGCGGCTCATCACATTACCCCCGGGACAAACCCGGGCCGGGGAGGGACAGGAGGCAGAGGAAGGCAGGGGGGCTGCAGAGGAGGCAGAGGAAGGCAGAGGAAGGCAGGGGGGCTGCAGAGGAGGCAGAGGAAGGCAGGGGGGCTGCAGAGGAGGCAGAGGAAGGCAGAGGAAGGCAGGGGGGCTGCAGTGGAGCTGCCTGGGGGCTCGTACCGTGCAGCAGGAGCCTCTCCCGGGCCAGCAGCACCCGCAGCTCTCCCCACCGCTGCTGCAGCGCCTGCTGCGGGGACAAGGAACAGCTCTGTCACTCGGGGAAGCACAGAGCACTCGGAAAAAAACCAGTCTGTAAAAGTGCGGGTCAGGAAACACTCGTGTGTCCCGCTTTTACTCAGACAGTTTTCCCAGAGTTTAGGAAATGCCTTCCAGACAACAGGATTCCCTCTCGCCCGAGGCTGCTCGCCACATCCCGTTTGGGAACGGAGCAGGCTGAGCTGCAGAGCACGGAGCTCACCTGCAGCCAGCTGGGGCAATGCCAGAGCTCTCCTGCAGCCCTGCCCACCCTGCAGCAGCCAGCAGGAGCAGGCACCCCACTCCTGCTCCCATCCACCCCATCCACAGCCCTGCCTGCGTGGGAGCTGCAATCCTGAGAGCCCCAGTGGCACAAGGCACCCAACAGCTCTGCTGCAGGTCAGCTCTTGGGGGAAAATAAACCACCTCAGGGTTGATTCAAAATCCCAAATCCCCACCGGCCCAGCTCTGTGCAGCTGGACATTCCTACACCCACACCACAGCCTGAGCTCCCCTGGGCAGCCCTGGGATGTGAGCACATTTCTTCTCTATTCCTGGTTTCTGAAAATAACACCAGAGGGGCCAGGGCTGGGGTGCTGGCAGCAGGGAACCCCCGGGTGTCAGCCCTTGGCAGGGCCCCTGTCCCGTGGACACCCACCTGCCCCCATCAGCAGTGAACACACATCTCCATTCGACAGTGGGACAGTCCCTCACCAGGTTACCTTGAGAGCCTGCAGCCTGCTCTCCAGCTCCATTTTCCTCAGGAACAAGGCCCCGTTGATGGTCTCTAACCTGTGGGAACGGGGGATGCTGGCCCTGGAGCAGAGGCTCTCCCCAGCCCAGCCCTCGGGATTTCGGTGTCTCAGGCAGTGCAGGGCCGTGGGGCAGCGTGATCTGCCACAGCTGGGAGAGGATATCAGGCCAAAGCCCACCTGAAGGACAGACACCCACCTCAGATAGTTTCCTGAAGACTTTATCAAGTCCACGATTTGCTTGTGACCAAAGCCCTCGGTGCTGACGCCGTTGATGCTGCTGAGGATGTCACCTGTCAGAGACACAGAGCGAGCATCAGCAGCCCGTGCTCACCTTCCCCCTGCTCCACAGACACTGCAGCAGGCAGAGGAAAGGAGGATCAGGCCCCCCAGGTCAGGAAAAGCCACAGATAGTTACCAGCCTGGAGGCCAGAGAGATGGGCAGGGCTTTCCTCTTGGATTCTGCAGACACAGGTGCACACCTCCAGGGAGAAATCATTTTGGTGTGGAAACCTAATAGTCTGTTAATGCCAAAGGGACACAGTTACCCATCCTGGAGCCATCTAAAATCCAGCACTTCTGCAGTGAGAAGGCTGTAATGAGCAGAGTCCATTACATGCAAGGGAAATCAAAATGCTGTAACCCAACAATTAAAAATGCATTTTTATAGCAGAAAACAGTAGACACCTGACAGGAGCCTGGACACTGGGTTTGGGGAAAACAAACAAACCTAGTTTTAAAGCAAGCTGGTTATTCAGTTTTTAAAACTAGCTTCAGCCAAGAATATGTCAGCAGGGGTGGGAATGGCTTTCTGGAAAGATGTCTCACGTTCCCAGGGTAACATGGCAGGATGGGACTGGGGCTTTTCAAGGGATTGACTCTTATTCATTGGGAATGAATGTGTGGAGACAGCTCAGTTTGCATGGGAGCTGAAAGGACACAGGGTTTAAATTAACTTTTGCTCTTCTGGCCTCTGAAACTCGTCATGCACACACTCCTCAAAGTGCTTTTTATTCTTGACTTACACATTTAACGAAACGTTAAGTAACTCTAATTCCTCTCAATCCCTCATGTGGTTATGGGTGCTGGCATGAATTTAGAGAAATGCAAAAACCGGTGCCGCAGCCTGTCCGGATCCTGCGACAGAGGAAACGTTTTCTGGTGACGTGCAAATACCACATCTGCTTCCTGGAAACCTGCAACCACCACTTCTAACCCAGACAGAGCTCACACTGCAGCCCCAAAGTTCTCAGCAGTGTGGAACAAAGGGAGGGAGGCTGGGGAAGAGCTCATCTGGCCAAATCCCCCCAGAGCAGTGATTCCAGCCTTGGACCAGCAGCAAAATTCGTGCTTAAACTGAGAGTGACGAGTGAAGCGTGAGCTCCCTGCAGATGGAGACCTGAAGTTTCACATCATCTTATTCTGCTTTGCCTAAATTTATCTCATAATGATGCAACTACAGCTTCTGAACACCCTCAGGAGCTGACAGGCGCTGCCTTTCTGTGGCCTGGACTTTCTATGAAGTGCTCACGCTGAATGCATGTTCAGGAAGAAAACGTGCCAAGAACAATTATTTTTAATCAGAATGCCACATATAATGAAAATCTGCCCTGACAATTTACACAAAAGCCCAATAATTGACTCAATTATCCTCCCTTCTGAAAGCTCTCCTCTGTTCACGAGCTGAGTGCTGACCTGCTCATTAGTCACAGACCCAAACTGGGCAAAGTTGAGCTTTTCCTAATTTCACAGAAAATACTTTTTCCCTTTGTGTGCAGAGAGAAGAAAGCACTTTGAACATGCCCTGCTGCTGGCAGGCAGAACCCTCTGCCCCCAGACTACATCCCTTCACTCCTGGGAGCATTTTTTAACTATAGCCAGGATTTTTGCAGAGCTGCTGATCAGCAGTTACCTTTCTCACAAAACCCCACAAACGAAAATTCTCCCACTGCAGTGCTCCTGGTAACATTCTGGTTCTCCTACTTGGAGATTTACTGACTTCTACACCAAACAGAAACTCCTCTTATATGACTGAGCTCCTGCCCCAGAAGCCATGCTTAGCAGGCATTTATGGAAAAATATACCACTATTGTACATCTTCTTCAAAAGTACATTTCCCTCTGCGCATATCAAAGGAGGTAGCAAAAAGCCAGTACAAGGTAATTTAAAGAGAGTTTTTTGATTGCTCTCATTTGAAAATATTCTCATCTACAATTCTCCCAAAATTATTCTCTTGTGGATGTAAGAAGGTACTGTCATTGACTCTTACTTGGATGGATGGGGTTTCTCCTACATTCAGCACTCTGACTTACAAGAAGGCCAGAAATTCTCATCTGTGACCTTCGTTATGAAAAACTCCTCAAAGAAGCACCCCTGGCTTGTCTGAGCACTGTAAGCTCTTCAAATTTCACAGCCTCTGACAGACACTTCCTCTGCTCTGGCCTGCCTTAACCTGATTTTGGGGATATGACACTTCAGACTCCACACCACATTTTATTTTTAATGAATCAACTTGTCACTTAAGTCTTACCTGTATTTCAAACCCAAACGTCTCTTTATCTTCTTTCAATATAGCAACGAGGTGCCTGCAGGAGGAACACACAGAATTCCATGGGAATGGAGGGTGCTGCTCTTGGTGGGGCTGCATTTCCACCCAGAACAGGGCTGTCACCTCACCGCCCCTCCCTGTGCCTGCAGGTGTCACCTCACTGTCCCTGTGCCCACAGGATGTCACCTCCTGTCCCTCCCTGTGCCCACAGGATGTCACCACGCTGTCCTTCCCATGGTGGTGCTGCCTCTTCCCCTGCTCAAGCCAAAGGTCCCAGCTGCAATTGCACCTCCCAGGCGCTGGGTACCACTCTGTGCCTCACACCCTGATCCCACCCGGGCTGGCACAATGCCAGGGACACACCTTTCATGCAGAATAAGCCAGGAACGGTGACTCTAGAACCCCAGAATCCCAGAATCCCAGAATTACAGAATCACAGAACCTCAGAACCTCAGAACCCCAGAATCCCAGAATTACAGAATCACAGAACCTCAGAACCTCAGAATCCCAGAATTACAGAATCACAGAACCTCAGAACCTCAGAATCCCAGAACCCCAGAATCCCAGAACCCCAGAACCCCAGAATCCCAGAACCCCAGAACCCCAGAACCCCAGAACCCCAGAACCCCAGAACCCCAGAACCCCAGAATCCCAGAACCCCAGAATCCCAGAACCCCAGAACCCCAGAACCCCAGAACCATACCTTTGTGGCTTGGAGGAGTCATCCAAGGAGCTGGATCTGGCCAAGGCGAGCTGTGACCAGAAACATGAGAGGAGAGGCATCAGTAGTTTGTGGTTCTTTGAGGATAAACCCATCAGTTTTGAGAAGAACTAAAAGCAGTGGAGGCATCCCACCAGCACCTTGCACCAGCACAGCCTCTGCCCTGGCCAAAAGAGACCTTGGAGTTTCTGAGCAGGAGGAAAAGCATCTGGAGGTGAAATCCCCCTGTCAGATGCTGGTGGTGACAAATCACGTCCCTGATGTGCCAAGAGCCCATCTCACTTTTGTGTCTTCCCTCTAGAAATCTGTGGGCATTCATAACCTGCAGAGCTGCCGGGAGAGGCACCAAGCAGCCGCAAGCAGGGGAGCGCAGAAGGGAGCCCTGCGGGGTCTGCACTGCCTCTCCCAGCCGCAGCCAGGGCTCCTGCCTGGGCACACCTGAGCCCGACAGCTCCCTGGGAAGGGCCAGGTCACTCTTCAACACGGGTTCTTCCCATACATAATAAGGAATTCCATTATCGCTGAGGTGTTTCTAGTCAATGCAGATGATGTCTGGGGCTCCAGCAGGATAAAGTGGTGCCACAGCGTGACCTGCGACAGAAACAGCGACTTCGCGGACTTCATTTGCTTGTCAAGGGAAGAGCTGAGGAGAGAGGCCGTGTACAATCCGTGTGGGAGGAGATGAGAGGGCTGATAGCCAGGGGCACCGGGGCCAGGGTGCTCTGGTGCCTGCAGTGTCACCTCGGCCCTGGCTCAGCTTTCCCTGTCACATCACGGCTGTCACCAGGGCCGCAGGAGCTGCTCCCTCCCGGCAGCCTGCCTGTCCCTGAGACACGCAGCAGAAAGGGTTAAGTGTCCCCCTGCAGCCGAGCAAAGCAAAGCCTTCAGCGCACAGACATTGCAGGCGATTTTTCTGCCTGTGCTTTCAGGTTATCCCGTCCCACAGACATTTCTGTCGGGGTTCCTTCGCTCCGCACAGGCAGTCCCGAGCTCAGCCGAGGGCAGGACCGCTGTGTGGGGATGCCGTGGGGATCGTGCTGCCCTGTGCAGCTCTGGGGACAAAGCCCAGCTCCAGAGAGAGCCCCGGCAGCCGCCACAGCCGCCCAGCAGCGCTGCCACAGCCGCGGCTGGAGGTGTCACTGCTGTCACCGCCGCGGCCAGCCGGACCCTGCCTGGGGAAAGGGCCATTTAAAGGAGCCCCCGGAGCGCACAAACCCTTCTGCCAAGGCAGGGGAGCTCGGCCGGGGCCGGAGCTCAGCCTCCACCGCCCTCCGCAGCCCGAGCATCACCGGCACAGCTTCCCCCGAGAGCGGCCGGGCTCGGGCAGCCCGAGGCTCCCGGAGCCCCGCACAGCCCGTACCTGCCTGCGGGCCCAGGGCTG